AAATAGTATTTTCCCTAGCAAAAACCACCAAAACACACCCAAAAAAAAAAGACCCAAAGAAAAAAAACAAAAGCCCCCAAAAAAAACTCCACCCCTTTGCAAATCCTGGGGATCACCAAAGACGTGATGCAGGAGCCTCAGAGTCGTAGAGCAATGCATGCGGGCCAGAGGACAAGTCCTCTTGGCAATCGAGACCTCGCAGTTGGTGTTCCGACGTGCATGCCAAACACCGGGAGTCAAGCATCTGATCCCAAGTTCCCAAGGCTCGGGAGAAGGCCTCACTTCGGCAGAGCTGCACGGGCCGGCCGGGTGCTTAGAAACCAGGTACTTGTCGTTTGGGTGTCACTGGTCTACAAGAGATGCAGCTCGTGGACAAGAAGCATCAACAAAGGACTTCGCAGCGGAGGTTCCGCGACCGCAGCATCAGCTGTTCAGCCCACCAGGCAGGTGAGCAACGTCTCCGCATTGCAGGCGGAAGTCCCGATACCCTCAAGGTTCGACCTGAACAGGCTTCATCCAGTCGTAGGTAGGCCATCAGTGTACAGTTTGCTTCGGAAGACCTTTCGGATCTGCGATGAAACGATCAAGCCCAGCATATCCCAGCAGGACGGCCCCTTTTCTAGCATATGCTCGAAGTGCTCGACAAGATGTCGTCGCGAGCTGAGCTCATTGATGCTGTGCATGTCCTCGCATTCTGCATTCTCACATGCTCCACTTCAAACCCAAGCGACCAAAGCGGGTGAATGGAAATGCCGCACGGGTTCTTCTAAGTCCGGTAGTTGGCTCGCATCACCCAGTTTACGACCCGTATTCACCTTGGAGAATCTCTGCCCACAACAGGCAGCACTTATGGGCGAGCCGGAGGCGGTATTCGCTCCTCTTTCTAGCCTTCTGAGGTAGCCGTCATGTGCGAGAGTAGACTGGACTAGACTTACCTGATCTATTTGCAGTTTGGTGCAGGGCACGTGGGTGCAGAGGTTGCACTCTCTTTCTGCGACTGCGCACGGGGCCTTAGTAAATCGGTGCCTTGTCTTGTCTCCCTTTCTCCCTTTCTTCCTTTGCAAAGTGGCGCACAGATCATCATGTTTTCCTTGCGGAGGCTGGAAATTTGGCCGCCGGAGTCGCCCCACTGGCGTGTCGCAGGCCGGCCGCCCGTCGTGTTCCAGGCAGCTCTCAACTCATAGCCGCAGCCCTCGAGGTCCTCTCATCGTGCCGCAGAACCTCCGAGAGCAGGAGCAGAGTTTTTTTGAGGCTTCAAGGGCTCGACATGGCTCGACCGTGGGTCACTGTTGACGATGCCAACACATCGCGGTAATAGGATTTCTGCAAAGACCGTTTACGAGAAGCGATACGAAGCGCGACAATCTACATAATGCAAGCTTACCACACAAGCCTCCAGCCACGAATGCACTTGAGCAGACACCGTAAGTGTTGTTTGTGTTATTTTTCAGGGCCTCACAACCACAAGAGTAAGCATACATATGTGCACTGTATGCCTACATTCTTCTTAACATGTTTGCGCAGTGCACATTGAGGAGCTGGTGCAGATGGCGGTGCGATCTGCGGCAGTGGTGTCCTTGGGCGCTTGTGAACGCCTATTGTAAACGCTTCGCGTCGTCCGCCTCGGCCGAAGGTGCAGTAGTACGACGAAAGTGGCCGCGGGACGGATTTCGTGGACGGAGGGTGTGGGGGGCTTGAAAGCCGACGAAGTCAATTCTGAGAGGGGCGGGCAAGGATGGGGCGTCGGCCGCGGGCGGTGGGTAAACTGGGGAACCCGTTGTTTTTCTTTTTGCTGTAGTTGCTTTATGTTTGTTTTTGTTGTCTGCGCGCGAACCCAGGAAGCCAGTGAGGGAGTGAGCCCCGGCCCCCGGGCACGACAGCAAAAAAAACGAGCCCCCGCAACGACAGCAAAAAACTAAATGGGCCCCCGCAACGACAACAACAAAAAAAAGCGCCCCGGAGACGACAGCAAAAAGCATAACGCGCCTCGGGGACGACAGCAAAAAGCAACGTGCCCCGGGAACGACAGCAAAAAACGCGCACCCGCGACGACAGCAAAAAAAGCGTCCCCCGAAAAACGACGGCAACAAACAGAAACGCGCCCCCGCAACGACAGCACCGGAAACGACGCGAGTAGTAATAACAGTAGTCACAGTAATAATAGTTAGCAATACTAGTGATGATAATGATAATCGCAAGAAGCACAGTAGTAATATGAACAGTTGTAATACCAGGAAATAATATTAATAGAAGTACTAGCAGTACTAGAAGTAATAATGGTAATAATGGTAATAATGGTAATAATGGTAATAATGGTAATAATAGTAATAATAGTAATAATAGTCATAATAGTAATAATAATAATAGTAATAATAGTAATAGTAGCAACAATCGTAATAGTAGTAATACTAGTAATAATAGTAGGAATAGTAAGAATAGTAATATTCGTAGTATTAGTAAAAGTAGTAATAATAAAAGCATGAATAATACTAGTACGACTAAAAATGTTTATATTCCCAATTAAATACTAATAATAGCATGCGAAACATTTGTCATAAATTGTTACCAAACCCACACATCTTTTCGTTTAATAACTTATCCCGGGCTCAGAAACAATTTTATTAGCTACACATTGGCTTCAGAGAGTTGCACCGCCATGGTGGATGTCGCGAAATCCACCGCCTCGACGCGCGCGATCCATGTACATGGTTCATCGCCAGAACTATGCAAAACCTACCCCGAGCCAAGAAACTGCTATATTGAGATCACGGCCAAATACATGTTCCGTGCAAACGTTGACTTGATTGCTTTCGGGGTAATCGGTGTCTAGCAGGAAACGTTTCTTTTATGCTTCAGAGCATATGAGTCTTTTTGACACCCATGATGCGATCATTGAGTTTGCAACTGGCGGGGTGCTGCGCCCACGTTTCGAGCCGTGCAAGCTTGCTTCAAAGCAGTCTTTCTGAAACTCAGCATGCGAGCAGTCTGTTTGCAATTGTCGGGCGGCTGCGACCCCCTCCCGCCTTGAGCCGTGCAAGCTTGCTTCGACGCATATGATAAGTTGAAACCTATCCCGCGAGAATTTTGTTTGCAAATGGGTGGGGGGGCTGCGTCCCCGCCCAACCCCCCCCCCCCTTCCCCCGCTTTTTTGAGCCGTGAAGCTTTCTTGACAGCATATGACTTCGAAACCCATCATGCGAACATTCCGTTTGCAAATGGGGGCGCTGCGCCCCTCCAACCCCCCCGCTTCTTTAAGCCGTGTTTGTATCCTATCGTGCGAGCATTCTGTTTGCAAATGAGGGCCTGCGAAGCATATCAGTCTTTTTTGAAACCCATCATGCGACCCTTGTGTTTGCCCTTGGGGGGTTTGCGCCCCCCCCAACCGCGGCATTTTTGTGAGCCATGCAAGCTTGCTTGACAGCATATGACTCTTTGAAACCCATCACACGATGGAGGGTTTGCACCCACCCCCCCCAACCCACCGCTTGTGCAAGTTTGCTTGACATCATATGAGCATCGTGTTTGCAGATGGGGGGGCTGCCCCCCCAACCCCCCCAGCTGTTTTCAGCCCTGCCAGCTTGTTTCAAAGTATATGAGAAACCCATCATGCGATCATTGTGTTGGCTGCGCCCCGCGCAACCCCTTGACTCATGAACGCATTGGAAAACAGAGGTTATCCTATGAACATAAGGGAAATTACGGGTTTGTCTGAAATCCAGTAAACATTAAACATAAAGAAAATGGAAATTAGGAAACCAGGGAAACCCATCATGCGAGCATTGTGCTTGCAAATGCGGGGGACTGCGCCGCCAACCCCCCCTGTTTTCAGCCGTGCCAGGTTGCTTCACCATCATGCGATCATTGCGTTGGCTGCGCCCCCCGCATCCCCCCGCTCATGAAATCATTAGACCATAGGGGTTATCCTATGAAAATATGGGACAGCACTAACAAAAAGCGCCAGAAACCGCAACGACAGCAAACAAAATAAAAGCGCCCCCGCAGCGACAGCAAAAACAGCGTGCCCCCGCAACGACAGCAGTAAACAAATGCGCCCCCACAACGACAGCCAAAAAACAACGACAGCGAACAACAAAAAACACTCTTACCGTATACTGGGAGGGGATCGAGGCGAATGAATTCCAAGAAGACATGAGTCTTATTGTTTCGATAGTCTCAGGAGCCTGGAGACACAGTCGAAGCCAACGAGGCAGCTTCTGCGTCCTGTGCTTGTTACTTGCCTTCGTGACTGCTCCATATTCTAGACTGGATCTCTTGCTGCTTGGGCTTTGGGCGTCACGCTGTGTGCGAAGGGCTCCTAGGCTTTCAGGCATATCCTGGGGTCGGATGTGCGAAGATCTATTGGAGCCGCAACCCTCTGAGCTTGTCCATGCTTGTCCATGGCTTCAGATTCCATGTGCGCAAGCCTAATCTTCCCGGCTTTCCAGCTGAAGTGCTCAAGCTTCCCTTAAAGGGATGCCCGTGCCGGATGAAGAAGCGGGAAGTGCAACACACTGTGCGCGCTCCCCCGAAGCCTAGAAGCGCACAAAGCGCACGTCCGAAGCTTCAGCACGGGGCCTCCAGCAAGCTCCTTACCGTGGGTCGGGATATTGGATTGATCCGCTCCTGCTACCGGAGGGCGCGGGCCTTCTATGCAGAGCGGCGCGATGACATCCATGACCACGACACCACACTGCAAAAAGCGGTTTGGTCCATGGTCGTGGTCTGAAGCTCAGCTGCCCGCGACGCGCCGTCGCCTTCAAACGGAAGCTACGGCAAGACTGTAAACACATGTAAACACTGTAAACCTCCTCGAACTCCTCGTTCGAACGTCTTGATTCGCTCAGGCCATGCGCGAGGTCATGAAGGAGAGACGCCGCATTGCCGGCCTGCGGCTCGCTTCACTTAGCAGGTTTCAGGGGGGAATGTGCCAGTCACAGCCACGAAGAGTCTTTATAGGTCGGCAATCAGCGACAGAGCATGCAATTTTACGTATGTCTTTGCGCATCCCGGCCGCGCTTGTAGCTGAAGCTGGCTGTTGCAAGGCTGATCGCGGGTGCCGCCACCGAGCAGTTGCAGCAGCGACTGATGGAAGTGATGGTCGAACGAAGCTCGTTGCGACCGCAGTTTCAGAAAGATCGTAAGGCTCTTGCATGTTCCAGGCGAAGCGCAAGGGAATGAGTCGTACTACGGTCTTGGATTTGTTTAGGCTGTGCTTCAAAGCAGCCGGGTTGGCAGCCTGCAGCCGAGGCGCCATTGAGCATTCTGAGATGATCGAAGCGCAGTCCATGGCCGAGACGATGTGCCAGGAGCTGGGGAAGCTGAGCACTGCGCGCTTCATGTCCGGTTTCGCCTTCCTGCGGAGCATCCTCTTCGAGCGTGACCTGGAAGAAGTGGAGCCCGGAATGGTGCTCCAAACACTCCGGGAGAAGGTGAAGAGCTCGGAGAAGGACCGTCACCAGAGGCGGCAGAACGTCGTCGCGAACCTCTTCGGTATCCTCTCCCTCATTCATGGTTCGGACTTGAAGGCACTTTGGGAAGAGTACCTCTTGACTGCCCCGGCTGTAGAGAGCGAGGAAGACGGAGAGCTGCTGGATAAGCATCACAAGGACAAGATGTTCGCGAACTTTTGGTCAAAACCAGTCAGGAGGGACAGCAACAGTGTTGTGCATCATGAAGATGTGCGCAGCGATGTGGAATCTCTGGATGGCGCCCTTGACGTGAGGAGGACGAGCACAGCGAGAGAGATGATGAAGGACTACAAATTCTTCGATAGCGAATCGGCTGGGAGCGCCAGCGAGTCGCAGTTCGATCCTGAACCTCAGGAGCGACGGCCGCAAGCGCATACGCAAGAGAAAGAGCTCGTCCTGAAGCAAGAAATGCAAGAAGACCCCGAGAGTGTAATGGAGATGGTCGAGCACTTTGAGGGCCACGAGGATCACGAGAGGCAGTTTTCAGCAATCTGGGAGCCGCCCGCTACACGGCTGGCTCAGGAGCCCGAACTTGGGCTTGGGCCGCTTGGGGAAGACGAAGGCCACTCAGAAGGCTATGCCAAGGTGCAAGAAGCCCAGGCGTCCTCACGAACTTTGAGGTGTGGGTGCGCCAAGCAGAAGAGAAGGGCGAGAACGGGAGAAGTTTAGACATGCTCAGGGCTCGACCCCCCGGAATGTGCAAGAAGTTAGCACCTCAAAGGCTGTGTGATAAAGGCCCCCCTGCCTGTCGAGGTTCCGCGAGATGAACGCCTCCCTTCTGCAGGCCTCGAGCCCTCCACGGCCCGGCCGCCTCTCAATCACCACTTTGCTCAAGCGGAGCATGTTCACGTCCCTGTCGAGGCGCGCTCTCTTCATGGGGCCGGCTATTGCTCTGTCTTTCTCCCCGTATGCCTCCAGGTGCTTCCCGAGCTCACCGCGCCAGAAGGAGGAGATGCCGGAGGCCCCGGTGGCAGCGAAGCCACCGTTGCCGAGGCCCCAGCTGCCACGGCCGGCCTTGCCCATGCGACTGGGATGCACGGAAGGCTCAGCGGGGAATTCGTGTTTGTGTTTTTTGCGCAGATGTAGAAGTCGGCTCATAACAGAGCAGAGGCTACCCAGCACTCCTTCTGCTTCGGGCAGCGACCCTCCCAGCCCTCCGAGCGTGGTCTTGGGCGTCAGCCCAGACTTCAGCTGGCGTGAGCGCCAAGCCGGGATGGAGGACCGAAGCCAAAACAGATATTGCCCGATAGAACAGACCCCGAAACTCTTGCTGAAGAGTAGAAAAAGCAGCCAGGACAGCGCCATCGAGAAGTTCGAAAGTTTCTCCACCGACGCGAGTGGCGACCGACGGCCCTTCGAATCCATTGCCCTACCCTTGATGCAGTCAAAAGGGTCTCCCGCTGCCTCCCGCTCCGAGCCCGGACCAATGTCCGAAGCCGCCGCCGAAGCCGGCCTAGCTGTTAGTTTGCTGCAGCAGTTCCATGCCAGAACCAGGGAGGCTGCGGAGTCCCCCTCAAATGCACGAGGAGAGGCACGTTTCCTCGTGACTCCGGAGTCCACAGAAGAGGACAGCTGGGATTTCGGCCAGCTTTCAGAGAGCTTTGGCCCAAGACCGACGACCGAGAGAGACAGAGAGGCGCAAGCAGCCTCTCGCGATGTCGCCATCAGCGGCACGTGTATCTCGCACCAAAAGCCCTCGCAACCCTCGGCACCTCGCCCACTTACCGCGGATGGCAAGAAACAGCGAGTGCTCCTGCCTGTTGGCGCACTGGCGCGTAACAAGGCGCCTCCTACAGCTCCGCTTCCGGACAGCCCACTCTCCAGAAAGATAGCAGAGAGACGCATCAAGGCGGCGCAGACTTCAGCTCAACAAAATGATCCCACTCTGTCACCGATCATGGCAGAGACGCTCAAACAGACCCTTCGCAAAGCACTGGCACGGCAAGCCTTCTGACTCTGACTTCCTCCCATCATGGCTGTGGCAACAACGTTGCTTTTTTGGCCACTTCCTGGCTTGACGGAGCTGAGGGGTGATTTTCCTTAGCACACCCTAATCGAAAAGCTTCCGCGGAGGATCCGATAAGAGGTTACACATAGTGCACCAGCAAGCGGTTTTGCGTGCAGCCTCCTGCTAAGTTGTGCATTGAAAATCGGTTCAGAAATCTTTCAAAGTGGTTCATGTAATGCTTTGAAACTTCCATATGGTTGTGTAGCACATCACCCACACTTCTAAGCCTATGCATATGCATTGCCCTAAGTGCGGCTCAGAAGGATCGTAAACCCTCAGATGACCATCTCACCTGCACTGTTGGCAAAGGCTGTCTTCATATCAACTGACACCTTAACCTCGTAAATCCCGAAGGGAGATGGAGGCTTTTCGGAAGCAGCAGGCCTGGATCCACCTGAAGGTGAGGGTCCTCTCTGAAGCTGCCAACGCAAAACCCTCGTGAGCGCAAGTGATGCGATTCATCCATGAAGCTCTATCTGTAAGCAACCTGCGTTCTGAGGGCAGGGCAGCCTTTACCTAAAGCCGGCGTCAGATGCCTCGCGGTGTCAAGCGGCCGAAGCGATGCGAGAGCTCAGAGGGTCTTCGGCCTCGCAGGTTTCGGCTTCGTGGCCATGGAGCATCCGGCGTCGCGCGCGCAGTAACAGGGGCGCTGCCGCCGGTCCAGGAACTTCGTATTTTAAAAATTGGCTCTAGTTTTTTTCTCCTACGCAGGGATATGGAAAGCAGATTGAATCCATGGAGAAAGAGCATGCTCATGTGCTTCTGTGTGAGCATACTCCGTGCTGTGACCTTCGGACCTGGCGAAGCTGCACTCCTGCTCCGTTCGAATCTTCCGATCTGCTAATGCCATGCGGCATCCCTCTTTCCAGGGCTCCGCTGTCGATCGAGCGAGAAAGCTCGTGCAGTGGGCTCCTGCGGAAATCAGCTTGGGTTTAGGGCCAGTTTACGCGCAGAAGGAGAGGTTCTTTTCCGCAGCGGTCCTGCCTGTAGAGTGCCATCCGAGTATTCCCTGATTCAGAATTGCCAAATGCGAGCTCCACGCCATGCTCACAGTTCTACACCGTAGGGACATCCCCACAGCTAGGAGGATTACGCCGCGAGCTTAGAGAGGCTTTAAGAGAGGCTTTGTTTTGCAGGTCACGTCGGGGCCTCAGTTTGAATTCCTCTCTGTGAGTTTGTGTAGCTAGGGGTAGTCTAGCTGTCCCAGAGATTGCTGCACCTGTGGAGTTGTATGAACAGGTGTTGAGGTCCGGCAGTCTGAGTCGAAACTACAAGGTCTGTGCAAAATTAAGGGACCTCCACATACTAACACCTGAATACTCTCACGCTGATGTTTGAGGATCCCCGTGAAGAGACCTCGAGTTGAAGAAATCCGCACGCAGTTCTCAGCTGTCGGAGCTCTACGAGTCTATAAGTCTATAAGCTATGAGACTGGGAGGATCCAAATGTTGGACTCACTTGGCGGTTCAGCGCAGTGTCGTATCCTTCCGCGCCGATCCGACAGGATGCCAGCTCTGAGTAAGGCAAGCCTGTGTGGAGAACTTGTGGGAACGGTGCGTTTTGAAGGGCCTCATGGGGCGCCACGGGGCGAATCATGTCGGCTCGATAATGGTCGCAAGCGATCGCTTGAGATGCTGAGCGGTGCCGTGCAAGGTACGATGTTGCTCCGCATCATCTGACGGGTCCTTCATCTCCTAAAGTCGCGTCAGTCACCGCCTGCTATCGTTGTGATCGCTGTGGCGAGCTGCACAGATACTGAACCGGACTGGCACGCTTGGGACCCGGTGATGTTCAGGGTGATGTAACATCAGATTTCCGCAGCATGGGATGGGGATGGGTCCCACGAGTCGGTCGGATGGTAGGCCCATGTCCTGTGACACCCTGTATCTGTTTTCCGTGGACGCAAGGACCGTGACTGTGATGTCTGCGCCTGACTTGTCAAGCTTTGGTGCAGAGCTCCGGAGCTTTGCTTAACTTCCCGTGCCTTCCTAAGACCACTTCGAAAAAGCTCTAAAGCTTGTTGCCCTTGCATTCCTGACGGTCTGATGCTTCCCAAGACGCTTTGAGTCTCGGCAGGGCCTGGGCCCGGAGGAGCGGGCCACGGTGCTGCTGGGGCTCAGCGTTGTGACCCCAGACGGCTGGAAAAGGCTCCGTTTGCCGTTTGTGTGGTGTTTGCGCGCAGTGCTTCCATGTGCCCAGAAGCTGCGTGGCCGACTGCCCCGGGTGGCGCCGCTGCTAAATCAGCTCGTGGACCACCAAGGGGCCTGGAGCACAGAGCGTGCTTGCGAGTTCTCAGTGCTTTTTGGGGGTGTGCAGCTGAGCGCGGGTTCCAAGTAGAATTTTTGTCAATTTCGACGGAAAGTGCCATAGTTGGGTCTGGAGCGACCGGGGAAGCGATTCAAATTTCGGAGGGTTGAATTGGCAATCGTACGTCGTACCTGTCATACACAGACCGACCCACGTCTCATATGTGCTTTTCACTGTGGTGCGCCGCGCAAAGCCAGAATCCTTAAGGTCCTTGAGATTTTTCAGTCTCGGATCGCTGTCGGTCCTTGAACTCCCGAGCACGAATACAGCTCTTCTTTTCATGGTTGGAAGCATCGTACCTCGACAGCCACACGATATCAAAATTCCATGAGATACCCGCAAGCAGCTCAAGCCTTCCGATTGCGCCTTACAGGCAACCAAACCTTTGTAGGAACTCTTCTGAGGTCGACGGTGCGCACCGCGACCAGGGCCTAGCGAGCCAGCTAAAGCCCAAGGCGAGCGGTGACAGAGTCTGAAAGTCTGTCGTTTTGTGTTGGCCTCTGGCATTTTGGTCAAGGGCGGCAGCGTGGCTGAGCCATTCGTGTTTTGAGGGGCGAGGGTTCATGTCCCTGAGACTGCATGTTCGCCATGGCGGAAATCGACAATCCCAACCCAAAACCCAATCCTGGATCCTAAAGTTTCGTCAAGAGCTTTCTTGGCTTCTGTTTCCCGAAACTGGGCCTCTCCTGTGACTCTCAAAAAAGGCAGGCAATGGCCGAAACCCAACAGCAATCCTAAATCCCCTAAGGTTGAGCCCAAGACATCCCGCCGGCCTTTCCTGAACTGGCTTTTGTCCGATTTTCGCGATGCTTAAAGCCAAAAGCCGAAAAGCCAGAGCTCGAGGCAGTAGCCATGCCCTTTCGAGAAGTCTTTTTGGCTGTGCCGGGCGCAGGACTTGGTGCGATGCCTCGAGGCCATGGCAACTTCGGATGCCATGGTGCTGGAAGCGCGCAAGGCTTGCAGTCCTCTTTCCATGTTGTTGTCGGGGTGGATTATTGTTGCAACTCTGGTCATGAGCTTCATAATATGACCTGCTGCAATTTATTGGTGCTCGTTGCGGTAGTAGTGGTGGTGGTGGCTGTTGCAGTAGCAGAAGCAGGTAGCAGGAGCAATAGCAGTAGCAATAGCAGTAGCAGGTAGCAGTAGCAGTAGCAGGTAGCAGGTAGCAGTAGCAGCAGCAGTAGCAGGTAGTAGAAGCAGTAGCAGTAGCCCGCAGCAGTAGCAGTAGCAGCAGCAATAGCACTAGCAGCTAGCAGAAGCAAGTAGCAGTAGCAGTAGCAGCAGCAGTAGCAGTAGCACTAGCAGAAGCAGGTAGCAGTAGCAGTAGCAGCAGCAGTAGCAGCAGCAGCAGCAGCAGCAGCAGCAGCAGCAGCAGTAGCAGGTAGCAGTAGCATGAGCAGTGGCAGTAGCAGTGGCAGTAGAAATAGGAGTAGTAGTAGCAGTAGTAGTCGTCGTCGTAGCGGTAGAGTTGTCGTCGGAGTCGCAGTCGCAGTGCCGCCTGCCGAAGCCCAAGTGCCAGCACCCGACCGACCCATGCCCAAACAGATTTGGGATGATTTGGGCTTGCAGATATACCGAGAGACATCATGCGCCAACTTGGCAGGAGGGGCCTTTCAGAGACTTCGCGGAGCAGGCGCAGGGTCTTTGACATCAGGGTGTAGCCTTGGGGAAAGCACTGCCATAAGTTTTTCGACCGGTTTTGCTGAGGCTCAAGAGGAAATATGAGGAAACACAATAATGGAATTTTATGTAAATCTCGTCGGAAGGGCCAGCGGGAGAGGGGTTGCGCTTGGAGAAGCGGAGAAGGAAATTGCTGCTGGCAGGCTCTAAAAAGACTGGGGCTGGCTCCGAGAAGTCTCGTGCACGCCCCAGCGGACAGATTCGAGGAGACTAAACTGTTTCCCAACAAGAACGGCTTCGGTGTCCGCACGATTCAAAATTTGTGCATGAAAGGACGCACCCGTGCGAAGAACAGCAAAGGCACTGTCATCGCAGTCATGGGTTGCGCGGCCACAGCGGCATGATCCAACACCGTGGATTGCACACAAGAAGTAGTAGCCGTGGATGATACGGGCTGCAAGATTCGAAAGGACATTGAATACTATGCTGAATATGATATGACCTTAGTAGCTTTACGGCTTTTCATTGCCCTGATTTTTGCGGGTTTTGACTCGGCGAGCCTATAACCTTCCAGTGCATGAGCTTTCCGTTACATGGTAAGCTGTCCTTTTCGGGTCTATTCGAACCCCTGAAGAGCGTCTCGAAGCTTTACTGCTTTGAAAGGAGCTGAACAGTTGCTATACCCATGATGGGTTTAGGATACGATGTAACGCAGTTGTGCGCAGCCATGGTGACGTGGTCCCTAGACGTGGAACAGCGAACCTTACTTTCTCCATCTCTCCACGCTGTTTTCCTCTGCACCCCCGACACCGATCACGTTTCAGTCTGCATCACCAAATTCCCAATGAATCCCAACTTGGGTGTGTTTTTTTATTTTCATGTTACACACACATGTATATATATATATCTGTCTATCTATAGATATGATTCTTGAGAGCCCCATGTGCATGCATGTATGTATGCATGCTTGCTTGGATGTATTTACGTGTGTGTGTGTGTATGTATGTATGTATGTATATACATATATGTATGTATATATATATATATATCATTTACAAAATATGTGGCACCAAGGACCTAAAACAGTTGCTCTCCGCTCGCCGGGCCAGCGAGGCCTTGAGCTTGCCGAGGTGGGGCACGGGAAGAGGGGGGCTGAAAGCTCCTGCTGCTGCCCTGCCCCATCACCAGCAGTACCTATGTCATGATGATGAAGGCCTCGAAGAGAGGAACAACAAGAGGATGAGCACGATTCACTAACGTGGTTGTTGTCGTTGGTATGCCCTAGTATGCATGTGAGGCGCTTTGATTTTCACAAGCGTTGCGATTGTGAAGGTGACGCGGTCAGCAACAGCACGGCTTGCCCCATGCAATCCAAGAATTTGCATTACACATCGCCTGGTTTGAAAACCGTCTCGTCCGCGACAGCCATGCCGAAGCAGAAACGAGTGCGAAAAGATCCCCCAAACCCGTATGCTCATGTCGGCCGAGGGCGGAGCTGACCTCCGAGATTCGCAATCGGCTGGTCACCGCGACTTTGCGCTTTCAGCAAGCTCTGTCTTCTTTCGTAGATCTGCTGGCAGAGACGACCTCTAGCCAAGATAGAACCTCACGACGCAGTCCCAGAAACTTTCCCGATGGATATGTGAAGCCCCTTCTTACTGTCAGTTTTGTCAATCAAATTACATGTCCGGAGGATGATTTCATTCGAAGTCGCAATCCGCCCACAGCTGATGCCACGAGTGCAAGCACAACGGATCGAAAAGGCAGTGGCTCTTGCCCCTAATCCCCAATCCAAGGTGTGAAACTCCCAACAACATTCGAGCACTCAGCAAGCGTTCCCCTGAGAAGCGCGAGGCTTCCAATGTCCAGCCAAATCTCCTGAAGTCGAAGCCTCTCGGCTGCCATCCACATGTTGGTTAAGGCTCCTCCTCCTGCTAGTGCTGCTGCTCCTGGTCCTCCTCCTGCTCCTGCTCCTGCTCCTCCTCGTGCTCCTCCTCCTCCTGCTCCTGCTGCTGCTACTGCTACCTGCTTCTGCTAGTGCTACTGCTGCTGCTGCTGCTGCTGCTGCTGCTCCTCCTCTTCCTCCTGCTACTGCTACTGCTCCTGCTCCTGCTCCTCCTCTTCCTGCTCCCGCTCCCGCTCCTGCTCCTCCTCCTCCTCCTGCTCGTTTTAGTACGAAATGGCAGTAGCAGTCTTACCAGAAACGAAAGTAAGAGCCACCATGCAGAAACAAGAGTAGCAGAGATAGTCTATAGTCACACCACTCAATTGGTTTTGGTAGCAACAACCGTGACCTTAGCTACGCATGCCGGTGGTCATGGGCCTCATAGGGTCAGGGCTCCCTGTTCAGTAGGGATTTTGGGATATTGGAGTGAGCTCCTCTACGTTCTACATTGGCATCCCACAGACTTCTTTTGGGGCCCTTGAGAGCCTGGAGGCCCTCGCCGGTTGAGGATGGCGGGAGACTCGCAAGGGAAACGTTTCGGGGGTTAGGGTTCGGGGAAAATATTCAAGGGTTTCGGGTTTCTTGCCGTGTGTGGGCTCGAGGAACTCATGTTCGCCTGAGCTACTTGTATGTTGCTTTTAATGTGGCTGTCTGTGTTCGGGTCTGGCAGCTTGTGTTGATGTAAGCCGTGGTACATATGGTAAGACTGCGCTGGAATGTTGGCACCAAGGTTGCATGTCGCATGTATGTGGCATCCACGTCACTGTGTTGCAATCACCGGGGTCCGCAGCAGATTTGGGGTTGCGGGTGAGGATTTCAAAATAAGCTCTTCGAGCTGCGGGACTCGCAGTCCTGAGCTCCAGCGACGCACAGACTATGCTGCTGCAAGAAAACTGGCTGCTGGCTACAGGAAGGTTTGCTAGATGGCTGATACCAGTTCTCAGAGTTTCAGACAGGCAGAGTCACTCCCGTTTGTGCAGAGGCCAGCCCAGTTTGAGCGAGAAGCGAGAGACGGTGGCCATGATCACTGGTGCACATGCACTCAATGAGGCCCCCGCACTCGGTAGCATGCCAGCTCAGTCGGAACTGAATTCTCGTGATTCGATATATGTATGTATGATTATGTATGTGCATATATATATATATGTATCTATGATCCGCTTTGAGCCTTTGAGTGCCGGTCCTTCGGCGTGGGAGCTTGTGAGTGTGCTTTGGAGGGTTCAACAAACTCGGGGGCAAACAGTGTCTGTAACATTCGGCGAGAGCCGCCTTCTGCTGCTCCTGTTCCTGTGCAGCAGCTGCTACAAAGACTGCTGTCTTTGTGTCCCATTCTGGCAGGTCGGCGTTCTCCGAAGTTTCCACGTTCGAGAAGCACTCATGCCCGGCTCATAGACTGCTGTGGATGCAGTCAAAATGCGAAGTTGCGACCAGTGTGGACGCGTGCGGACTCAGGCCTCCTGGCTCCGGTAGAGCGTCGGTCTTGGCTCGAGTCGCAGGCGCTGCATGCTCGCCATCAGCCCCAGGGCCCCAATCCTTGAAGCCCATCCCAGAGGAGAGCCTCCTCGTGGCTGAGACTTACGGATTTCCCATGCCTTGCGCCCGCCGGGCCCCTCGGCCATGAGCTACGTCGATGCGGGCTGGCTGCCGCCCCCGAGCGAATCCGAGCACAGCGACGCGGAGGAGCCAAGGGCACCGAAGCGCAACTGGGGCTGAGATGTCCAAGTTTCTTCTTTATAGACTTTAGACTTGTTCCGAGTGCGTTGCCAGGCCTCAGTCTGAAAGTCATGGGGCGCAGCTTAGATTTCAACCCACGGCCGGCTGCTCTCGCCAGGACCAGGGACATGTCGATGGTTTGCCGAACTACGGCGATGTGCACTTCTGGACCGAGGCTCGGTGGTCGCTCGTTTTCTCGTCCTCGCTGTCCGTCTTCTGTGGCCATAGTACCATCCTGTCCTTGTGGTCTCGTTGCTTCCACTTCGCTTTGTGCGGCCGTCGGGCAGATGCCCAGATGTCCCTCAGAGGGCGCGGTCCAGCTGACCCGCTCCAGCGCATCCACAATATCCAAGGCATCTAGTCTACCTATTTGCACCAAAATTCTCAGCACCAACCCCTGCTCAACTCACAGAGACTGTCACCGACTTCCGCAGCAGACCATTGGAACGAAGCTGTGTGAGCACTTGCCTCACACAACCCCCTCACTCGCACACCGCATGTACGGAGCAGAACTGAAGTTGTGCGATCACGTTTTGTGAGCATCTCCGCTCTTTGCAATGAACTGTTAGCTTTCGGAGATTGGGGCTTGGCACTTTGCTTCATGACGTCGAGAAGTTTGGTGGTTGGTCTTTGGGAAGCTTTAGGACCTGAGCACCAAACGCAAGCGGAGGTTTACACACAGCAGCGAGGGCGCGAGATGGCACCCAAGGACTGCTCAAGTTGCTACGTCGTTGTCGTCGTCGTCGTCGATGTTGTTGCTGCTCAACCCACGCAACATGTTGGCGAGCTGCTCCTGCCACAGTTCCAGTGGTCCAGGCATGGATACCCCACACAGGTTGTCAAAAAACAAATCCAAGGGGCGCAGCATCGGATCAGGGGTTGCTCGTGGATAGGCAGGGTTCGAAACGAATTTTGAGGGGGCACAGTAGCAGCATGCTGAGATCCACGCGCGAGCACGGCTTGCCACCGACACGCATGTGCTTTCCGCAGATGGTTTGCGCTTCGTCTACGAGCTGTTGTGTAGGTGGTGCAGCAAAAAAAGTGGAGTGATAGAAAGTGGTGGTGGACGTGGGAGTGGTGACTGTGGGTTGATGGGTGCTAGGTGCTTAAAGAGTTAATCCAGCGAAAACCTTGTTCTCAACGCGAAAACCCTAAGCCTTTACATCCTTTACCCAAGACGAAATCCTGAACCTTAAACCCTCAAGCCCTGAACCCGCAGCCCTAAATCCTAAACCCATGAACCCTTAACCCCAAATCCAAAGCCTTTAATTTGAAACCCCACACCGTAAATCCAAAACCCGTAAGACCAAAACCCCAAACCCTTGATCCAAAACTTTTGAACCCCAAAGCCCTGCCGTGCCCTGGCCTGCCTTTGACCCTAAAAGAGTGGTCGATTTTGCTGGAGCTTCTAGGTGGCTTTCTGCTAGACACCACAAGCCCTGAACCCTGGCGAAAGGGACCCTGAGTGTGCCGTAGATGCGCCAGAGTGTGAGTGCGCCTTAGATGCGCGAGTGCCTCTGCTTTGGGGTTCGTCCATGGACGGAAATATCAACTGATCCTGCATGATGTAGATGTAGATGTAGATGACATGCAGATGTAGATGTAAACGTAGATGTAGATGAGATGTAGAAGTAGAAGTAGATGTATCAGAGAAGTAGCAGAAAAGTAGAACAATAAGAAGAAGTCATGCCTCCAGGAGTGGCTTGTCTCCTACTCGCACTTTGTCGCGCAAGGCACCTTCGGGATGAGGTTCTGAGAGTGTCGCCGCGCAGTTGAAGCCTGCCCCAGCAGATTCCAAGAAGCCGCTGGCGCTCAGGGTGGCTTCGCTTCTTCCCCTCCAAGGCCGCTCGGATACTGGACTTGGGCTGCGGAGACTCCGACGCCCACGCTGATCAAGAGGTTCAGGGGCTCCCCAAGGTTTTTATCCCGGTGATGCATCTAGCTTGGAGCGGTTGAGGGCGCGAGGTGCGTGTAGGCAGCGGAGATTTTTTTGGGAGATGGCAGAGAGAGCCAGGCACAAGAGGTTTTCAGGCGGCCTGCCGCAGTCAACGCGAAATCCCCCTGATGATTCTTGTACAGTCCAACGACAAGCTGCGATTGGACGTAGTTCGCATTCTTCGAGCAAAGGAGTTCATGTCGGAGGCCTATGACGATGGGTATGAGGACATAACTGGAGTTGACATTGTGCCGGCAGTTCTGGACACCATGAAGCAGCTGAACACGTCGAAACGGCCTGGTATCAAGTACGAACTGGCGGCGTGCTGACTGCATTTCAGCAACCGGTGTCTCGGTGACAGCTTGTGTCTTCAGAGCCCAGCACGCTTGTTTGACCCGTCTGCCGCTCAAGAGTCCCAGCAGGATGCAAGAGAGCTTTCTCTGTTTCCTGACGGCTCCTTCGACGTCGTCTTTGACAAGAGCACGCTAGATGCTCTGAAGTGTGCTGGGCAAGATGCGACAAGCCGGATGTCATCTGAGATCCACCGCATTCTGTCAAGCGATGGTGTGCCTTGACCGTAGCCCCAGTCGGAGAAGTCCACGACTTGGAAGACTTCGAGGTGAGCTTCCTGATAGTCTTGAGCATGAAAGAGGTCGGCTTGTCTCTGTAGCTCCACAGAGCTCAACAGACTGAGGTGTACCTCTGCGTCAGTCTGAATACCCCAGAGGAGGCTCAGCCGGCCATCGCCGCTCGGCTGGTGCAGGGAGGGTGGAGCTTGTCCCAGAGCTTCATGGAAGCTTTCAGTGCATGCCGAGGAGCACACGGCGCATGAAGACCGTGGATGGGATGTGCAGGTGCTGGTATGCGAGAATGAGACCTTCGGCTTCGCAAATGTCTGAGCTGAGATTTCGGACTAGGCTAAAGGGGGCTTCAGGGATGAAAAGTTGCCTCCTGCTTTTTCTTCTGGAAAGAATGTCGGTTTGCAGAGCTGCTCAGGGTTTCAGGGTGATCAGGGTGAAGTTTACTTCGAGGCTGTCCACTTGGCCCGACAATGTGTACGTGCCTGTGACCTTCAGATTTTTGATTTTCCTGCGCTGCAGGAGATACGACGGAAGCGACGGGCCTCCGAAGCATCTTTACATGTACGTTGCTCGCAAAGCGCTGTCAAAACCTGTGTGCAGGATTCCCTTGCTGTGCCCAGGCCCCGAAGTCCCCAGGCTCTAGATACTCGTGTGGGCAAAGGGAACTCGAAGTTTGGTCCTCGTTCGCGAAGAGTTTCAAATTTGGGCACCTAACCTCATCCTGCAGGGATCGGGCATCAAGAGGCTCCAGCATATGAATCAGAAGCAGGCACCCCAAAACCCTGAGTCTGACTCTGCCCGACGAATTAGCCTTGTGAGGGGCTTGCCTGGAAATTACTGAGAACCGGGTTCTTGGAGTGTTTCTTTTTGAGAGGTTCGTGATTTGTAGGTTTCCAGTTGAGAGCTTTTTGTGATCCATTTGCGGTCTGCCCTGTTTCGGTTTGGGGGCGATTCGCTTTTTTAGAGAAGCTTGAGAGACATTGGAGAGCCCTAGGAACCAGAGAGAAATTTGAGAATGCTGCGGGAAATTTTAAAGAAATTGGAGAGTCCTACAAGACAAATTTGAGAGTCCTAAGACTTATGCATGCGGTGGCAAATGCAATGACTCTATTTTCTGTCGATACAATTTGAGCTTCCCTGAGCTTTCTCAAATCTATTTTCAATTTTTTTCAGGTTTTGCTCAGGCTTCTCTCACACTTCTTCCAAGACGAGAGTCTGCGATCGCAAACTCATCTCAGTCCCGCTCGCTGAGATTCTGCAGATTGTTCTGCAACAGAGATCTATACGATATATGGACACAATGGAACCTTAGCCATTACGACGATGCCCGTCACAGCCCTAGACTCCTTTGCATGATGTTCGGGGGATGGAAGCAATTTGAAGGCTTGGGCAAAGGCCCCAGTTACCTCGCGCTGCTTGATAAGACGACGTTGGAGGCACCAGAGCTCCGAGTTTTTTCGGAAGACTTTCCGCGCGCTGCATGTGTTAACGAAGTGTTCAAGTTGGAGACCCCGGAGCTCCACGAGTTTTGGTGAGACGTTCCATGGACTAAATTTGTGTTGGAAAAACGCCGGGAAGGAAGGTATCACCGGTATGACCTGATCACGTCCGTGCAGAGCATTGGAAAGCTCCATGCGATTTGCGGCCGGCATGGCAAGCAGTCTTGCGGCGATGCACCTTACATCCCTCAAAAAGACTCCCAGGCCTAACTAAGCCTTGCGCCGAGGCTTGACACGCTCAGTCTTGACCTCGGACTTTCATCGGGTACTCACGTCTTGCAGTGGCGCTTTTTTCACGATGGTATGGGCCGATGTCTATGATGCTATGCTCGAGGGATCAGTTTGGGTTACTTTGTGGTACAGCCCCGAGTTCATGGGACCACATGCTTCGTAGCTCTGCCTCCATCTCGGTCAGAGAACAGGGATGCGCTGCAAACAGAATCGTGCTGTCTCGTTGTATCATGCAACTCCTGAAGTTTCATCGCCGAAAGCGTGAAAAGAATAAACCAAGTCCAACAGTTGGAAGAAACACATGCTACGGAACCCCCCGCAAGCCTCGAACTCCAAACGCCTAACTCTGAAAGCAGTGAGGCGTCAACGATGCCTGCGAGCTTCTCAGGCACCCCGCACCCTGAAGTAGAAAGCCGGGTACTATGGTTGCTTTCTGTTCGGAGCAAGGAAGTAAGAAAGCAATGTTGCTACAAGCAGCGGATGGAGCGGTAGCCAGTAGTCATGATCCTTGTACTGGCTATAGATCTCATCATCGTAGTAAATGGAACATTCTCCGCTGGACCCCTTTTGTCAGTGCATTTGTCACCTGTGACTCCCGAGCCCGGAACGGTCCTGGCTTGTGCTCTCCTTCGACTCGTACTCGCCTCGCCGGGTCCCACAGCTAGGAACTCCCGAAGGCCCCAAGCCTTCGCCCCAAGCTGCGCCCTAAAAAATCGTAGAGCGGGGCAGATACGCCGTGCCGGAGAAGCAGGGCCTCTCCCTCGTCTTTGCCTCAGCGCCCTTTTGGAGCGGACTGGAAGCCAGGTTTCTGTTTCTTGCGGCAGCGGCCCGGCTTGATCCTCTTTTGGGCTGAATGGCTTTTCCGCGGCTTCCGCTTCGTGACGTGCCACAGGAGTCGCGTCCGAAGGGATTTCAGAAAGCCACCTGTGGGACCCTGGAACCCCCGAAGCCTAAGCCACTGAGCCCGCAAGCTCGACCCGCTGACAGAAACCCCTAAACCCTAAAACCCCCCTGAACCCTGGGCCGTCTGCAGCCATTTGCAAAAGACTGTTGGAGCTTTCGGTGCCGCAAAGAGATTTGCAGCCATGGCAGTGGAGGTGCGGTGTGCTTGTAAGGGAGACTTCCGCGGGCGTTTTTTTTCGGAAAGCCCTTCCTCGCATCGTTCGGGATCCTACAGTACTAGATTTGTAACTCTATCTCTCGAGCTGGGGGAGGTTTCTTCGTGTCACGTCCACGAATTTGTTTCCGTGGCGTTTGCTGGGTGCCTGCGACTCCGAAGGGCGAGACTGCGGTGAAGATCGCATCCACCTTCTCGTGGCACCCCGGCAACACGGAGGGTACAGAGATCCCGCAACTTGTTGGTTCTGCTGATCTATAAAAGTTAAAAGTGCCTGGCTTCTGCCCCAGGCCCACCAGTCACCAAGTAACGGAAACCACGTGACATCTCTGATGAGGCAGGATGTCTCCATGACGGTGCAGAAAGGCAAGAAGAAGGACGGTGATAACAAAATCGGCCACGGGCCGGGGGCCAGATGCTTCAACGAAAGCTGCAGGCTTCAGGTTATTTAGGAGCGCAGACTGTCCATAACCTGCTTCAGAGCCGCAAGGAGAAACAAATCCTCTCCAACATCTCGGGCTCGCTCAGCAGTGGCAAGGTTTGCGCCCTGATGGGCCCGTCCGGCGCAGGACCAGCTCCAAAACCGGCCATTCAGGGCTCACCCCGGGTGTTTGGTGTGAGGTTGCTGGCCCCAAACCTTGCAGTCTTTGTGTCGGTGACAGCAACCCCGGAGAATACTATTTGGCAAGACTTGGCCAGGTTGTGCACGGACGAAAGATGTGCGTCTGTATGGCATGTGATCCTGCTTCGCTGAAGTGAAGAGTGTCGCAAGAGGTATCAACCATTCTTGTACGAGGTTACCCCACCCCCATCACTTTCCGGTTGCACTCAAGCACATCGCAGCCCCTTGTAAAGGGGGTGGTTGGACGCGAAGACAAATCGGGAAACGGGCCCTTGCACTGTCTCTGAAGGAAAGACATCGCTTCTGAACGTCTTGGCCGCACGTATTCGCACTCGTGGAACAACGGAGGTCCGGTTTCCCGGTTACTCGATCGGTGCATCTGTTGTGACGCTTGCCCTTGAGAGTCTGATCTCTGCAGGTGTCAGGAAATATCACTTTGGATGGTCAACCCATCACCGGGTCCACCCTCCGAAAGCGCATCGCATACGTTATGCAGCAGGACAGTCGCAGAGGGGAACTGTGTCGTGCTTTGAGTAATGGCTTACACAAAGGCAGGCTGAGATGGGGATGGCCAAGATTCTGCAGGTGCAAAAGGCGGGCCTGTCTGTTGCAGGTACTTAGACGGGCCTCGCCTGACATTTCAGTCGCTTTAAATCGCAAGCTTCCAGTTCGTCTCAAGCACATGAAACAGAAATCCCCGTCCTGTTGATTTCGTGAGCTCAGTGTCAGGACACCGTAAGTCAGCCGAGGTGATGTTCTTCGGGTTGCCTGACCGTAGCATTCTGACACATGGCACCCTCGAGCAGTCCTCGGCTAAGGCTTCAGGCTCACATGCTTAAACAAAGGAATTCATTTCAGGCCATTTGCCGAGGACAGCAAAACCGAAGCACCACAAACTCAACAAGCTCGAAGTAGTGCGAGACCCTGAGAACTGAGACGTGGATTTATGAAACACCAAGGGCGGAGCCGAGAACCACCATCTAGATTCAAGCCATTAAATTTTTATTCTGATTTACTTTGAGCTTTCGGCTTGGAGCAGAAACGTCCGAGATGCCTGGCCTCTGTCAGGACATCCTGGTGCCAACTCAGACGGTCCGGGAGTCGCTTTGGTTGCTAGGCCGAAAATCTGTAACACGGTGCTTGGGCGGATGGTCGGCGATCTTTTTGATCGGTGAGGGTTCAGGATATCTGGGCTCATGACTCAGCTCGCAGTGATCCGTTGTCAAGACCTCTAGCTTGCGCGAAGCAACTCGACGTGTCGTGGAGCGCATTTGATTGCATCCCAGAAGTCAGTACCGAGAAGTTGTCGATGCTTTCGAGTCTCATGACTAGTCGACCACTGGTCCACCAGACCATGGCATACACATGGTTCCTTCCTGGACTTCATCTGGGCCTCAGCAAAGGTTTTCAGCGAACCTTCGGCTGCCCAAGAGCTACAGCATGAAAGACAAGAAGGCCAGAGGGCTCTGGGAGTTTCGTGGACGCCTGCGAACTTCAGGCTTTCTAGCTGCGAACGTGTCAATCCCTTTTGGGGCTAGTTCTGCTACGAAATAGAACACAGGATAAGCGACAGAAACAACTACATGATAATTGAAAGTGGTATGTGGTGTGTGTGTGTGTGTGTATGTATATACGCAGACACATTACGTGTATAAGCTGCAAAGCGGTGTGAGGACTACATGCAACAAAATTCTAGTACTACCCTTGGTGCAGTGATCCTGACATGCATCATGCAGAGGCCCGATCTAGCCACTGAACTCAGCCAAAAGACCCCAGCCCAAGAGATCGAAGGAACTGGTGGAGAAGATGTTGGTCGACCTCGGCTTGGTCAAGTGCGCCGACACCTTCATCGGCCACTCCTCCCGTTTGTGGTTGAAGGCTTGATTGAGATTGCCTCCAGCATCCGGGGTCCTCGCGATACGGATGCCAAACGCTCTCTTGGAGATGCTCTCCAAGCTTCCAAGGAGTAAGGCGAACAAGGTGCAGGAGCAAGTGCAGCCCTGCAACGACCCCAAGCCCTTAACTGGCGGGGCTATGCGGGGCCCAGAAAGATGCCCAAATTCTTTTCCCCTTTCGCCCCGCATGCACAAAGCAGCCAAATTTCACGCAACGTAGGGATCCCGTAATATGAGCAAGGCGAGACCAATCCCCTGCGCGCCCCAGAATCCTAAACCCCCGTCCACAAACCTTTTTAAGCCCAGGCGACGACATGATCCGCGGGGTTTCCGGAGGTGAGAAGAAGTGCCGGGCTTGGCCATGGGGCGGTCTCGGGCTAGGGTTTCGGATGCTGTTTCGGATTGCATCCCTCAGTTTTAGGTCAGGGTTGGAGCTGAATATGACTTTGGGATGCTTTGGGTGGGTTTCAGAGGATCTGCAGTTTTGTCGTGCTACGGGGACCATGCACTGGAGTTGAGTTGGCAGTGGTGGATTGCATGGGTTTGGCATATCTTCTGCAACTTGCAACCAGGCGCCTGCCCAACCTCTACGAGTTTCATTCTCCCTTCAGGAGATTCTCCCGTCTTCCAACCTAAAAATAAGCCTCAGCCTCCTGCATGAGGCGCACCTGCGTCGGAATCGAGCTCATCATGAAGCCCAAGCTGATTTTCTTGGACGAACCCACCTCCGGCCTGGCCGCTCGGCTCATCGGAAGACAATCCAGCCATCCGGCTTGCCAGCTTTTTAGACTACTGTGGTTTCGTCTCTGAGATGCGCGACCATGAGACTGGAGATACGCCCAGGATTCTTATGCTGCGCACAACGTGATCCTCAAGCTCGAGGAATCGGGCAGAAACAGTTTCGGTGATTGCGTTTCGTGGCTTGAAGGAGTGGTCGGCCCTTTGGGGACCCCAAGGCCGCAGGTTTGTTCCACCCAAGAAACAATTCATAGCAAAAATATATATATATGTAAATATCATAACATATAATACAAAATGATATCATATCATATAATATAGCATATAATATCGAGTCTAACACATACAGGAGCTGGCCAGCAAGGAGGGATGCAACGTGCNNGGGGGGGGGGGGGGGGGCGCAGGGCGAATCAGAGCCAGGAAGCTTTGGGTTGGATTTTTTGGTTCGCTTATGGGGTGTAGGGATTTAGGGTTCCTAGAACCCTGTAAACCCTAAACCTGAGCAACATGTCCAGAAACCTGAAGGAGGAGCAGAGTGCAGATCGGGGGCCCAGCACGAAAGCTGAGGCTCTGTACCATCCA